AAAACTGGGTAGTGTATAATACTTTATTTTTTACAAATCAGGGCACACAAATATGCAATAAATGACATCTTTTGTTATTAATAATATGTTCTTACAATGGAGCATATTTTTCCATATACTTTAATGGAAAATACTTATCCTTTAACTTTTTTTTTGAGGAGAGCAAATTTATGCTTTATATGGTTTTAAATCATGGTTTATTTGGTCCTATGTTAAGCTCTGAATAGTAAGCCTGCTTAAGGTACCTCGGAACCACATGAATTTATTTCCCTATATTATCTGCATGGTTAATGTAGATATAATACTTAATTTTTTCCAAAAAAGTTACTCATCAACTTAGCCTTATCAACATCCAGTTCCCCTAACCCTGGAAGCCTCAAGATAAGTTTGCTATATAAAATTTGGCTCAATGATAATACCCAGTAAACTGCCTAATAAGTGATAGTTCTTTTCATGTCTTAACTTTAAAATACAAAACTTCACCATTAAGAACGATTCAAATGATGCTAATAATATTTAATATAGTATAGGTATAACATGGAAATGTATTATATTTGTCAAAAAACATCATCATAATGTCCTCACACAGTATCTTAGCTGCACATTTATCACATAGTAATTCTTTACTTGACTGAGTTCTTTTTGAAAAATAAGCTAATGTGCTGGTGTAGACTGAGGTTTTCAAATTGAAATTAATTAAAATAGAACTTGACATGTTTCTGAGGTTCAAAAAAATTCTTAATATTTTCCCTTTTATTTACCAGTTTTCTGAATAATGCTTTAGAATCCTAAGCAACCTCCAAAGATAACCAATGGAGGGCTTTTTTCCTTTTTAGGGGGATAGAAGGGCATCTTAATGAACTATTTGACTTTAACATATTTGACATATTTGAATGACTAGTAGCCATGATTTTTTTTGTGACTCAAGTAGTCCCATTCAGTGGTTGGTGCCAGCCCTTTCGTTTTAGCTCCAAGTCTTTTTGCACGTCCCCGTTGGTTTCCGACAGCTTCCTGATATGACGGGATAATCTAGGTTTCTCATACATTTCATGCTCCAGACATCGACTCATCTATTTTTCTGAGGAGCTCTGGTTATTTTTACTGGGAAATGGTATCTGAAGTCAAAGAATGGGCACTAGGTTTGTTTTTTCACTATTTCTAGGCATTTTCTGTAGATAAAGCTAGGAAATATTTATTTTATATTTAAGAGAAAATATACAAGTTCATACTATTATCTCCAACTCAAAGTTATAGGAATTTTTACTTGATTTTACTTTTTTTTATTTTAGAGTCAAGGTCTTGTTCTGTTGTCTGGGTAAATTACAGTGGTATCATCATAACTCACTGGAAATTCAAACTTCCGAGGCTCAAGTGACCCTCTTGCCTTGTCTCCCAAAGTGCTAGGGTTACAGGCATGAGCCACCATGCTCAGTCTGATTTTACTTTTGTATTCCTTTTCTCTAACTATAGAAATCTTGGTTCTTAGATACGATAATATAATTACTTATTTGCTTTATCAATATGTGTGTTTAAAAATAATAATACCAATATTATTAATAATAGTATTAATGAATACACTTAAGATTTTTCTGCAGTTCTATTTAACCTTAAAATATATCACCATTAGGAATGTCAGCCGCAACATTATTTTAATTTAGATTCACTTGAAATACTTCTACGTGTTCAAGCCTCCAACTAAATATATAATTAAGTTCATTTGTTTCATTTTGTGTTTGAATTTGTTCTTTTGTTTTGTTTTTAAAATTCTTTTAAATTTTGTTTTATAATTATGTAAAACATTTACATAGTTCCAAAGTCAAACCTATAAAAGAAGATATATTTGGAAAAATTTATCATCTACCCCTAACACCTCGTAAAAAGAAAATAAAAATCTCAGGGCCATCCCCCCAACCCCATATGCAAAAAGGAAAGGTAAAGGCCTCAGGTACCTTGTGAAGAACTGGCCCAACAGATCATTCAGGAAATTCCTTGCTGACCTCCCATAAGCAAGGACATGTAGGTCGTAACTATAAATCCACAGGCTGTGTGTAGCCTAAAACTAAAGTCAGTTTGATTCCACACTAATAATGAATTACAAGTTTATCTTCACAGGCAGAACAGAGATGTAGATTTTCCTGGGTCTCACAGGAATGTAACCATTTTGTCTCACTATCCCCACTTCCCTGTCTTTTTTTTCTACTGTATGCCTTTAAAATGCTGAAACTTCCAAATTCCCCTTCAGAAAAACAGCCACGGGTCTGTCCGTGGTTTGCTTTTTCTACGGCACATCCTCAACTTTGCTTAATATCTGTTTCCTCCCCTTTCAATCATTTTTCCTACTAGTTTTTTATACTCTTTCTATTTTACTTTATTTTATTTTATAAGAAATGGGGCCTTGCTCCGTTGCCCTAGCTGGACTCAAACTCCATCTCAGCCTCCCAAGTAGCTAAGATTACAGGAGCATACCACTGTGCCTGGCTTCTGTGTTTCAAAAGAAACTATATTCATTCTCCCATCCTATAACTTTGCTTCATTCCCATTATTAAATATCTTGGAAATCACTCTACATCGTATTGATACTATGTCAGATCTTTCACCCTTTTACAGCTGCATACTCTATTCAACCAGTCTTCAATTATTTCCAATCTTCTGCTGTTTTGGACTGCCTTCCACATACATCCACACATGTATGCATGTGTCCAAAGATAGGGAAAAGATTTAGGGGATGAACAAAAGTGGTAAGGAAAGTAATTTTCACCAAATCCTTTCTACGTGTCAAATATTTTATTGGGATACACTAAGCACTTTATATATGTAATTTTATTTATTTATTTAAAAACACTATCAGCAGGAAATACACCCATTTACAGATCAGAGAAATTAAATTACCTTGGCCAAAGTCAGAAAGCTAGGCATAGCCAGCACTTGACCTAAGACTGGGGCCGAGGTCTGTGCTTTTTTAACGATTTAAGATGCACCAGATGAGAACAAAGTTTTCTTTATGCTCACATTCACATGAAAATATATATATTAAAAATACTAGATTGAAATAAGTAATGTTAAAGGGAGTAAAATACTTACTTGGATCATTTAGATCTGACAGGCTTGTTTTCCTTTCTTTCAAATTTGTGATTTTGGGTATTTTTGCCCCAGGTAAAATGACTTTTCCATTAGTCTGTAAATAATTTTGTCTACTATCATCACAATTCACAATAACATCAATTGGAACCTTTTCCACACTGTTGCCATAAAACTTCTTGGTTGTTAATCCTGTGTTTTGTGACTTCTGTCCTCCAGAATTCTGATGAATTGACGTTCTTAATAATGGTCCAGTAGATTCACTCAAAGTTATAGCTTGTCTGCAATTTCTTTGCAAATCCTTAGGAAAAAGAACACCACAACTTTGGCATTTGGTCTGATTTTCTTTTTCTTTTCCATATTTTGGACAACATTCACGCTGTTCAGAAACTTTAAGTTCCAAAAGAACAAAAGAAATAAAAGATTTTGGCATTTTATTTCAAAATCAAGGAACTCCCCCCTCCAAAAGTCTCAAAATTAAGTCTCTCTCTTCCCCATTATCATCACCATGGCTATCACAAGAGCCTGCCTGAATAAGTCATGTTAGCTGGGAGTTAGCATCAGAATGCTAGAAGATATTTTCAAGACCATCTAGACAAGCAGTCAGCTACAAATAAACTCCATCTTTAAGAATCTGAGGATATGATCAAGCTGAGTACTGACTGGCTCCAATACTTTACTGTCTTGTAATAAAGATAAATAGAACATACCTAAATGAAAAGAACTCCATGGAAAAGTGATACGTCCAGATATTTACTTTTATAAAATTGATACCAAACAGAAAAAGTATATCCCTACTATTAAAATTCCCAATATTAAAATATAGAAGAAAATATATCCTGAGCTATTAGTATATGCCTTCCCTCAGCTTAGAAACACATATCTTGGAACTTTTTGCAACAATTAGGAACAAAATGCTGATTAGCTTAACTGAATAAGATATGACATTTTTCATGATAAAAACTAGAGATTAAGAATTCTATCAACCTAACAGTCTAAAAACTAGAATCTCAACACTGCTCCATTAGTTTTAGTATAGTTTATATAAAGTAGTGAATTTTCATAATATTTTACATTAAGTATGATTTCTTTTTGAAAATAAAAATTGATTAAAATCTCATTTCCCCCTTTTGGTCAGTGGAAGACCTTTACAAAATAAAATAATTCCAAAGTACTTATCACATACTATCTGAAAGTCTCTACCCATAAATAACCAACTACACTAGTAAGAATGAGCCTATCACTGATTGATGAGATATCACTAAGACAATGTCATTTTTATTACATATCCTAAAAATGTTTAATTCCATTAAATTCAAAATCTTGTTTTCCTATAATCAGTACATAGTGTGGAATTTCACAGACTATATATGGAAAGAAAAACCACTAACCTTGTTCACGAGTTAAAGATTACATAGAGGCTGGCTACAATTCTTTATCTCCACTAAGAAAAAAATAAGAACAATTGGCATGGGAGTAAAGAGTAAAAGAAGAAAGATTTGTTTTAGGCATTAAAAAATATTCTGAGGTTTTCAGCGGGCATGGCTAGTGGAGGAAGGATGCTGTGTCTAGGGAGGATCTTTCCTCCTTCCTTCTTAACCTAGGCCAAGCAGTACAGGTTGTCAGGATGGCCTGAGCCAAGCTTAAGCTGGCATGCCAGGAGTTTGATCACATGAAGGAAAACTGAGCAAATAGGTAAATACACTGGGGATGAAGGGTGTCAGGTTTCTTAGTGTCAGAGAAGGGAGTTACAAACATGCAAAGTGAGAAAGACAAAGTGTGGTGTTGGACTAGAACTAGAGTTATCAATGTGAACTCACACATTTTAATACGTATTAAATATTGACACATAAATATATTTCCTAGCTTTGTCCACTGAGAAGGCCTACAAACAATGACACCCAGTATCAACAAACATAACTTGTGTCTAAATATTTTCCCTCTGCTTGAGGGAACCATTAATGGCTCCTTGGAGAAATACATAACTCTAGGGCTGAGACAGAGGAATATAAGTCTTGTTATACAGAAGAATAAAGAAGTACTCAAAGAATGAAGGGGACACATCAAAAAGAAACATGGGCCAGTTTGAAGGGACTCCCATGGACCAAGTCTGGGCCAATTTTAGTATCAAAATAAATAAGGAAAGGTACAGACTATAACCCTTTGAGTAAAGTAAGAATCCCATGTGTCCATGCTGATACAAATAAATTAGTAAGTAAATGTGGAATAAGGAAAAGTTCTATTTTACATTAGAAGTACTATTAATAAATAAGCATAGAAATACCTATTAATTAACTTTGCAGTGGAGAAATCTAGAACGTTTTAACTAAGGTGAAAGTTAATATCATTAATGTGAAAATCAACACTGTGTATCCCCTGATATTATATGATGCAATGAGAAGATTATAGCATCATTTCTGAGGTATTCTTGAAAACCATACAAACCATAAAGAAACATCAGACAAACCTAATCTGAGGTACAAAGTGGCCTATACTCCTCACAAATATAAAGATCATGAAAGACAAAGGAAGACTATGAAATTATTTCTTACTGAAAAAGACTAATTCATGGCAATTGAATTTAACAGATGACCCTGAATTGGATCCTGTACCCATAAAGGACATTATCTAGGTGAACTTTGAATAGGGTTTATGGATTTGATGGTAATTTTGAGTCAATGTTAATTTTGTGATTTTGATAGCTGCCCTCTGGTTATATAAGGGGATATCCCCAACTCCAACCTTTTATTAATTTTTTTTTTTTAAGAAGAGAAACACACTGAAGTATTAAGTGGTAAATGGGCATCGTGCCTATAACTTATACTCAAATGGTATGGAGAAATACATACACGCAAACGTTTACGGTGGGGAGGGAAGAGGGAGAAAGGCACAGAGAAGAACAATAAAGTAAACGTGAAAAACTAGGAAATCTGGGAGAGGAGCATATACTCTATTATTTAACTTTTCTTTAAATTTAAAATTATTTCAAAAAATTTCGGGTCAACAGCAATCACTTGGAGTGCATTACAACTTGGAGTACATACAGAAAAGCACTGATAAATTTCTTTTCAGAAAAAAAAATTCTATATTTTGGACAGGTAAAAAATAGTCTATTGAAGACAGAAAAGTCTGCCTAAATAACATTTCTAGGTCTCTTTTGGTTCTATAAGAAAAGATCACCTAGAATTTAATAAGTACCAAAAAAATGATAAAAATACTGTCTGACTAGCAATAATTTTTCTACCTACCTCTAAATGGGTTAAACATTTTTTTGAAGCAGGAGACAAAGGAGGAGTAGACTGATATGTACTACAGTGACGTTTCTGTTGTACTTTCCTTTTAATTTCAGGCTCCACGTGTGATTCAGACTCTTCCGTTTTCTTCATTATACGTTCTAAAGGAAGGAGAAAAAGTAAAAGCAATGAAATTAAATTGTATAAATTCCTTATGATCTTTGCTATGAAAAAATACTACTTTTAGTTAAAATAAACTAGTGTTTCAACAGGTACAATAAAGAATAATCAGGGCTGGGCCCGGTGGCTCACGCCTGTAATCCTAGCACTCTGGGAGGCCAAGGTGGGAGGATCACCTGAGGTCAAGAGTTGAGACCAGCCTGAGCAAGAGCAGAGACCCCATCTCTACTAAAAACAGAAAAAAATTAGCTGGGTGTGGTGGCAAGGGCCTGTAGTCCCAGCTACTTGGGAGGCTGAGGCAGAAGGATTGCTTGGGCCCAGGAGTTTAAGGTTGCCATGGGCTAGGCTGACAACACGGCACTCTAGCCCAGGCAACAGACACTCTGACTTAAAAAAAAAAAAAAAAAAAAAAAAAAAAAAAAAAAAAAAAAAAAAAAAAAAAAAAAAAATCAGAACTTTTAATATTATCCACAGTGTGGACCAATTTATCAAGTATACCAATATTCTCTTCAGCTTAGTTCGTACTACTAAGGCAACAGAAGCACATCTTGTACTGAACCACTTATATATCTTTTTTCGAAGTCCGTTACTCTTCTTAGATTAATAATAAGAAAAATCTGAATTCAAACATTGGATACAACTGTTTAAAGGAAATTAAACTAACCCTGAAACTAACAGTTTAAGTTCAAGATACACACAAAAGAATTTTTTTCATTACTTTTCAATAAAAATTTAATAATTTTCAATAAGACTATAATTAAAATTTTTAAATGATTTGATGAACTCCGAAACGGGCCAATTTAAAAGTCACCACAATCTGACTTCATCAGCAAGGGTTAAAGTATGCAAGAGGCAAACATGTTTCTAAAACAAAAGTTAATGAATCGACAAACCAAAACGTCCTATCTGAATAATCCCAGCTTTGTTCAATACTTCTATTTTCCTCTTATTATTTCCTCTTTTTTTAGATAAGATTATATACATATAAAATTCAACATTATCTAACATTTAGTTTGATATACAATACTGCCTTTAAAAACCTATATAATCATTCTCGCTTAGTGTAATCACCCAAAGTTCCAGTGATTATCACCTTTCAATCTTTGTACTTCTATTTTGCTAGACACGGAAGCTAGAAATTTAAATAATTGATGACTACTCCTTATCCCTCCTTCCTCACTTTCAAGAGAACTCTACTTTCTAACAGCTCTTAAATTCACTCTATTCTCTCCAAACGCACTGCCACTACATTTTGGATGCTTAACTCTTGCCTAAACTCGTCTCCTTTGTTCCAATTTTGCTCCCTTCAAATCCTTCCCTGCTACTGCCAATGATTAAATACAGAAATATGACTTTGTCATTCTAATACTTAAAACTTTTTCATGATTCTGTAGTAGTTAACGAAAAAACTCTAAACCCCATCTCTTGGCAAGCTAAGGTTCATGCTGATGTTCCCAGTCTTAATCCATTTCTCCAGGCTGTTCTCTGTTTGGCCCTCTTACAAATGCTGTTCTCTTCACAAGCAAGGGAAGCCCGACCTATCTGGTGAATTCGAACCTTTCTTTGTCAAGAAGCTGCCTCTGCCCCACTTCAGGCACAATTAAGTGATCCTGAGAGTTTCCATAGCATTAATTTTATTTTATTGTATTTATTTGTACTTCTATTTCCCCCATTATACTGTCAGCTCTGAAAGAGCAAAACATGTTTTAGACATGCTATTTTCCCAGCATCTAGAAACTACACAAGGTAAGGGCTCAACAAATGCTTACTTGGATTAATGAATTACATGAGAAAGATAAAACCACATGACACATAAAAAAGATGAAATTACAGGGGTCAGGGGAAGAGATGGCATCATCACTACATCATATCTGAAAATGGCTTATCCTTTGCCACACAGAGATAATGATTCACGTACAGATCTAGAACCATAAGGACTTAGCCTTCAGCTGGGGAGAGTTATCATAAAGGTGCTTCTTTTTTCCTCTCTCTCCTGAGGTTACAGAGAAGCTGCTCCAGTCCAGAGCATGCAGTCCAGAGTTATTATTTCTATGAGGGCTAACAAACTTGGTTGATTGTGTAGATACAAAAAGCAGTTTCTATACAAGTGATTATTAAAGAGGTATAATGTGACACTCTAAGAAAAAAGGAGGCAGATAACATTTTGGGATTCAGAAAATATACAAACACAGTTATCTGAAACTCAATTATTCAAAAAATTTAATTTACTGTAGAGCAGTCTTAAAACATGGGTTACCCCCTGCCCCAGTGTTTTTGGCCTTACAAAATTCTGTAATTTACACATAGGAAAGCTTTATCCTTACAAACACAATTAATCTTTGTAAGCCACACAGTATCTTTGCACATCATTTTGCTCAAATATGTATCTAATTAGTTTTCTAACAGATCCTACTTAGAGACTCACATTTTAAAAGACCAGTGCCAGGGAGGTCAGCTGCACACCAGGCAGCCACAGCTCCCTTCCCACAAAACAAAAATAAAAACGGTATCACTTCGGGCCTGTAATCCTAGCACTCTGGGAGGCCGAGGTGGGAAGATTGTTTGAGCTCAGGAGTTTGAGACCAGCCTGAGCAAGAGCGAGATCGCGTCTCTACTAAAAAATAAAGAAAGAAATGATCTGGACAACTAAAAATATATAGAAAAAATTAGCCAGGCATGGTGGCGCATGCCTGTAGTCCCAGCTACTCGGGAGGCTGAGGCAGGAGGATCGCTTGAGCCCAGGAGTTTGAGGTTGCTGTGAGCTAGGCTGACGCCACAGCACTCTAGCCCAGGCAAGAGAGTGAGACTCTGTCTCAAAAAAAAAAAAACAAAACAGTATCACTTCATTTCTGATTATTTAATCACACTCTTCTCTCCACTATAGCTATTACATCATGTCTATGTCATGTTTTCTCTACTTACCATCATAACTAACAAAGGGGGAAACAAATGGCCCAAGCTTTGAGATAACTGAGGACTTTTATTGGTAACAGGTAGAGATAAATGATATTAAAGTATGGATCCCTAAATGAAAGCTATCTAAAAGGTTTTGAAGGAAAGAAAAAGGCAAGGAATGACATAATTCAAAATATTAAGATAAAACTTTTGAAACCAATGTGATGTGGCGAAATGGCTAATGACTACAGTGTTATAGGAAAGCAGAGTAGATCTACAAAGAGACAAGTTATAAACATAAAAATGCTAGTATCAGAGTTAAGAAATTATTTTAGGACTAATATTCAGAATCTATTAAGGAACTCAAACCAATCAGCAAGAAAAATAAAAATAACCCTTATATTAAAAAGTGGGAAAAGAGGCCGGGCGCAGTGGCTCACGCCTGTAATCCTAGCACTCTGGGAGGCCGAGGCGGGCGGATTGTTTGAGCTCAGGAGTTCGAGACCAGCCTGAGCAAGAGCGAGATCGCGTCTCTACTAAAAAATAAAGAAAGAAATGATCTGGACAACTAAAAATATATAGAAAAAATTAGCCAGGCATGGTGGCGCATGCCTGTAGTCCCAGCTACTCGGGAGACTGAGGCAGTAGGATCGCTGGAGCCCAGGAGTTTGAGGTTGCTGTGAGCTAGGCTAATGCCACGGCACTCACTCTAGCCAGGGCAACAGAGTGAGACTATGTCTCAAAAAAATAAAAATAAAAAAAATAAAAAATAAAAATAAAAAGTAGGAAAAGACATGAGCGTTTTTCAAGAGAAACAAATGGCCAACAAACATTAAAAAATGTTCAATATCACTAGTCATCAGGGAAATGCAAATCAAAGCCACTATGAGATACCACTTTTCCCCTCTCAGAGTGGCTATTAAAAAATCAAAAAACAATGGATACTGGTGCAGACGCAGTGAAATGGGACTGCTTATACACGGTTGGTGGGAACGTAAATTAATACAACCTCTCTGGAAAACAGTACGAATGTTTCTTAAAGAACTGAAAGATCTACCATTCAATCCATCAATCCCACTACTAAGCATCTACCCAAAGGAAAAGAATTCAATTTGTAAAAAAGACACCTGCACTCGTAGTTTATCACAGCACAATTCACAATTGCAAAGGTACGGAACCAACGCAAGGGCCCATCAACTGTTGAGTGGATAAAGAAAATGTAGTGTACATAGACTGTGACATATTATTCAGCCATGAAAAGGAATGAAATAATATCTTTTACAGTGACGTAGATGGAACTGGAGGCCATTATCTTAAGTGAAGTAACCCAGGAACAAAATACCAAACATCATGTATTCTCACTAATAGGTGGGAGCTAAGGAATGGGTATGCATGACCATACAGAGTGACATAATGAACACTGGAGACTTAGAAGGGCGGTGGCATACAGGGTGAAAAACTACCTACTATGTACAACATATACTATTCAGGTGAAGGGTACACTAGAGCCTTTTCCACTATACAATTCATCCATGTAACAAAAAAACCATTTGTACCCCCTAAATCTATTAAAATAAAATTTTTAAAAAAGGAATTCCTTTAGGATTCTATCTTCTAGGGTAAGAAGGGAAAAACATTTGAGAAGATTATGATAACTCAGGTAAAAATCAGGTAGTCTCAAATATAAAATGGTAAAAGGCTTAAGATGTTATTGGTCCAGGGATGGCAAAGAGTTGATAAGTGGAGGCTCAAGGAGGTTTTACTAGCTAACTGATTGTGGAAGTGATTTTTGTTAAGCCGTGATGTAGCAAATCCTTAACAGACTACTCCAGGAAGGTACCTGAGATGAACGTTGACATTCCTGCTTTAGATGATGAATCCCTCTTTTAGAGATGAGAAAGAGAACAAAGAGTGTTTATCCAAGATCACACAGTAGTAACATCAAGATTAAGATACTCTCTGCTGGATTTTCTAGCTTAATGTCTTTTAAATTTATTTTTATTTTTTAGAGACAGAGTCTCACTCTGTTGCGCAGTCTGGAGTGCAGTGGCGTGATCATGGCATCCTTGAACTCCTGGGCTCAAGT